CCTTGTCTGTCGGCCTCGCTGATGGGGCGCCCCTGATTGGCCTCGGGGATGGGGATGGGGGGAGGGGGCCGGGAGGGAGGGAGGGGAGGGGCCGGGTTTGGCTTTGTTGTTTGTCTATATGAATGTTTTGCTCATGCGTTTTGTTGTGTGTGTATATATATATATATATATATATATTATATATATATATATATATATATATATATATATATATATATATATATATTATATATATATATATATATATATATATATATATATATATATATATATATATATATATATATATATATATATATATATATATATATATATATATAGTATGTGTGTGTGTGTGTGTGTTGTAATTTTTTCTCTCTTTTTATTTTTCTTTTCCTTTTTCTTTTTCTTTCTTTCTTTGTTTGTTTGTTTCTTTCTTTTCCACTCCCCCATCCTCCATCTCCTCTCCGTCCACTCCACTCCCTCCATTCCTCCTCCTCCTCTATCCCCTTCTCCTTCTCCTTCTCCTCCTTTTTCTCCTTTTCTTCTCCTTTCTTGCCTTTCCCTTCCCAAGCCCTCCCACGAACAGCCTGTTTATTCTCCTGTTGTCGAATCAGAAGTTTTTTTTCTTTTTTTCTTTTTTTTCTTTCCTTTTTTCTTGGTGTGACTTGTGTGTCCTTTAGCGGCTTTTGTTTTGTCATCCGATCGTATTTGTATTAGATGTTCGGATTAATGTTCAATATATATTTTTTTCTTTGGGCTGGAGTTGTGTTTGGATCTGTTGCTATATTTGGGTTGGTGGTGTGTATCTGTTTGCTGTTTCTTGTTGTTATTATTATTATTATTATTATTATTATTATTATTGTTATTATTATTATTATTATTATTATATTATTATTATTAATATTATTATTTCATTATCATTATTATTATTATATTATTACTATTATTAATATTACTATTATTATTATTTTGTTGTTGTTGTTGTTGCTTTTATTGTGTTTTTTTATCATCATTATCATTATCATTATTATTGTTATTCCCATTTTTTAAAGGACTGCAGTCTTTTCATTACTATCATTATGACGTAAAGGCCTCGTCACGTGACCATTTACGAGCAGACAGTCATGACTTAGAAGCAGAAAACCAGGAGAGAGGAGTTCAGTATGCCCGTAAGTCCCCAAAGTCACCTCCAGCCGATAGGCCTATGGGGAGGGAGGGAGGGGGGAGGGAGGGAAGGGGGTGGAAATTTGCCCCCCGGGCGAGCCTAAGAAAAGAAGAGAAGCTGTGGGAGGTAGGTTGTGAGAAATGAGGGGGGAGGGAGGGGGAGGAGGGGAAGTGAAGACAGAGAGGGGGGAGGGAGAGGGAGGTAGGAGGGAGGGAAGGAGGGAGGCACAGAAGGAAGGTGGGGAGATGGGAGGGGTGGGGGAGGAGGGTAAGAGGAGAGGGAGAAGCAGATGTGTATGGTAGTATGGGGGTGGTAGGGTATGGAGCAGTGTAAGGACGAAGGGAAGGAGGAAAGTAGGGTGAGGGGAGAGGAGGGAAGGAGGGTGGGGGGGCACGTAGAAAAGGAAAGGCAGAGGGGGAGGGAGGGAGGGAGAGAGGGTAGGAGATAAGTAGAATAGGTATGGGGTGGGAAGGGAGACAGGAGAGGGGGGAGGGTGGGGTGGGGGAGGATGTTTTTCCTTGGTAACAATTCGAGAGTCTTACAGGAGGGTGGGAGAGGGGAGGGGAGGGTGGGGGTGGTGGAGGTAGCCGAAGAGTGGCTTAGGTGGCATGGTTGTTAGGATTTGTTGTCGTTTGTTTTGGTTGCGTCTCTTGTGGTTGTTGATGGTTGTGGTTGTATCGTTGTGGTGTTGATGGCTGTGCTTGGTGGTGGTTGTTGATGGTTTGGGTTGTATTCTTGTGGTTGGTGGTGGTTATTGGTTGTGGGTTGTCGGTGAAGGTTGTGGTTGGTGGTTCTATTCTTGTGGTTGTTGATGGTTATAGTTGCATCGTTGTGGTTGGTGGTGGTTGTGGTTATTGGTGGTTATGGTTGTGATTATGATGATGGTGGTGATCGGTGTTATTGTATATATTTTATTTTTTTCATTACTATTTTTTGTGTGTGTCCTTTGTGGTGTTTTGTAAGTGGTTATAGATATTAAGATATTTAGTAATGGACTTATTTATTAAGGGAATATATGCGAAGGAGAATAAAGATTGTTACATCGAAGAAGAAATACGGAAGTAATAATGTGACTAATAATAAGAAGGATAATGATAATGGTAATGATAATAGCATTAACAATGGTAATAAAACTATATTGCCATGAAAAACAAAAGCAAAAGGAAGGGGAATAAGGATATTGAGAATATAATATTACCGCGAAGGGAAAAAATAAATAGAATATTGAGAAAAGAATGTTATAATATTGAGAAAAAAATAAATTGAATTGACTGGAATTTTGAGAAGAAAAAAAGAGAAAAAGGAAGAAAAAATAAATTATAGAATATTGAGAAGGAAAATAAAAGAATAAGA